GGGCGGCCCCCGCTGAGGCGCTGGCCGCTCTGCCCTGCCCTGCCCTGCCCTGCCTTTCCCTGCCGCCGCCTCCTGCCCCTCCCGGGCTGCCCCTCTGCTGCCCCGCGAGCCGCCGGGGCCGGGGAGGCAGCCGGGCCTTGGCCCTTCGTGTCCCTTCCCGCCCAACGCAGCAGCGTGTGGTGCTGAAATTTTAACGAAGCATCGAGTACGGTCTTGGTCTCGGCCTTGCCGGGCTGCTGGTGAGGCTGAACACGCGCTCTTCCAGAAAAGCTTGAGTATTTTTGTTGGTTGTTGTTTGGGTTTTTTTTTTAATTGTTTGAGCTTTTTTGTTGGTTGGTTGTTTTCGGCTTGTTTTATCTGGTTGCATCTGTTGGGCTGTCCCGTGCACCTGTACGGCTGTTACGCAGAGCTGGCGCGGCCCCGTGATGGCAGGGTGCGGCCGGGACTGCATTCCTCTGCTGCTTTTAAGACTTGTTTGCCTCGTTCCGTCAAAACGCAACACGTTGGAAGTTCAATAGAAGTGCCATATTCTAGATTTTGTGCCAAATCTGTGACTTTCAAACGGACCGATTAATTAACTGTTAAAACTCAAAAAGCTGATATATAGCATGCTTTCTGTGGAATGGAAAAAATAGTATATTTTCTCCTGTGCAGCTTCATATATTGGCCTGCATGTGTCACTTTTTGGTAAGTGCACTTTTACAGCTGCGTTTTGAGATAGTTATTTTATTTGCGATGCAAGTGGTTGGTAGTCAGACACATTGATTGGCTGTCCAGGGTCCCCCTCCTGATGCACTTCAGGGTTCCACGGTCACACCGGCCTGCTTGCAGGTGTCAGGAGCCAGGAGGGGGCCATGGCAGGGCTCACGTATCAGATGGGGCCTCCTCAAAGCACAGGAGGGTGAGATGGGTCAGTTGTGTAATTTTCACATGTAGCTCTGCTGTGTTAGATAAGCTGAGCAGTGTAGAGTGCCTTTATTGCTGCCTTCTATCAAGTGGAGTGCCTTGAGATGTCAGTATAGCAAATAGATTCACCACCACATTTCTGTGTGTTTGTGAGTCAGGGGAGAGTGAGATTCGAGATAGAAGTGAGTGTTTTGAAAGACCTTTCTGAAGGTAATATAAAACCCAGTATCTTTATGTGTGTAATGTTACATGTAGGCACATGCCCAGCTCTAGAACTTTGAGGTTAAGTATTTCATGTTTCTGTGTCTTGGGGAGGGGGCTGCAGAGGATCCTTATTTTAAGCGTTGTTCTGCCTTTTCAGCCATCAGAGGCAAGAAAGGGCTAACTGGCTGTGGAAACTTCTGCACTGCAGACTCAGCACTAGGGCAACTGCACGCTCATCAGCAGGTGATGCTCCTTCACCAGTGTGAGCAGAACCTGAAGGAGCAGGTGGCTCTGCACACAGTGCTCTGATTTTTGCAAGGAAACTGTGTATAGAGAGGATTCGAAGTGTATCAGTCACACTTGAAAAATTGATGAGATAAAGGAAACTCTATCAAATATGAGATATTTTCTAAAAATAATGCTAAACAAATGTAATTTAAAAAGCATCAAAACACAGTCTTTAAAAGTGATGGAAAATAAATGGAATTATAAAACATCTAAAAACGTTTTCTAAAAGTAATTTTAAACAAATGCATTTGAAAAACATTAAAACACAGGGTTTAAAAGTGATGTTCAGGATTGTGACCTGAAACGAGCTGTTTGTAATACATTTGGTTGAGTTGCCTTTATCTCATAGTTAATGTTGCAAATTGTGAGAGCCGTAGACTTGAACTCCCCTCTGTACACACAGTTTTCTGGCAGACATCAGAGCACTGAGAGCAGAGCCCCCTGCTTCCCAAGGTTCTGCTCGTGGTGGTGACTGAGCGCTACCATTCAGTTTTCCCAGTGGTGAGTTGGAGGTGTGTATACGTGCAGAGGCCAGTTGTCCTAGACATGCAGTAGCTAAAGAGAATCATAGTCTGTAGCTTCAGTTAATGTCAGCTTGATACCATGGAAATGAACAGAATTCACTCTTGTTCTTTGTCTTGTATCATGCTTTTCACAACTAAGATTTTCTAGTTCTGATCTGAAATTTTGGCCTTTTTTTTTCAAACATCCATTGCGTTGTTGTAAAAGAGCCTGTAACATCTATGGAGACTAGGGTATATGACTTAGTGGGAGAGAAACTGTTGTGAACAAGGCAATCTAAGAGTTTATGTAGAATTAAATACTTTCTTCAGGAAGTAGCTGGAGTCTGTATTTTGTTAAAGAACCTAAATGTTTTTTCATGTAGGTTATTATTCTAGCTTAAGGAGCTATTGTGTAGTGCACACTGACTGGGGTTGGGGTCTGTCACATTTTTGTTCTCTCTATGCTTCTGCCCTTGATAAGAAGATAAACAAAATGATTTTTACAATTTTCTTTCTGAAAAGCACCATTTTGTTTTAACTAAAACTTTCTTGTGTAAAAGTTAAGGTACTTGTTTACCTGCTCTGATTGCCTTCAAGTGTATTCTTTGTGGTTAAAATAGACTTAAGCAAAAGTTGAGATTCCGTTTGGGTTTTTCCACTTACCCCCATGTCTAAATTTCACATGCCATACCAACTTTGTATTAACATGAGGAGAGACAGGCAGAACTGAATTCCTTGCTCCAACTTAACTTTGGTCATGTTATTTATCTTGCTTGGTGGGCAGCACCCAAGCCCTTTGGTACCAACTGTTTACACATCAAACATATTACAATAAGTATATATATGAAAGACTTGCTAAAAGGGTTTCAGGTAGAGAGTTTCCCAGGGCATGGGTGGCAGCATGGATAAGTGTGGTGGTGTGTTTTGAGCAAAAGTTTACAATTCTCATAGTACAAATCCTTGGAAGAGTTCACTTGCTAGACTCAGACAGTCCCCAGGGTAACGCTGCCTTTGGTGATTGTTGTAGAGTGTACCACTGTCTCTGTATTCTTAAAAATGCTGTTTTCTGACCATCTCTGTACCAAATTAGTTATTTCTTCCCCATGTGCTGCAGGTTGATCCTCTCTTCTAGTGCAAAGTTGTAAACTGTGGACTCAGGATTTTCACATTCTTGTAATTGCTAAAAGTAACCAGGATTTTTGAAGGCTTTTATCTGCAGGTGTTCCACTGCTCTGCCTTCCTTCCATGCAGTTGAACAGATGTCTCATGTACTTTTTGGAACAAATCTGCTGATTCAGCTGTGTCTCAGGCAGTTCGTGATTGTCTTCACATGCCACATTTCCTTAGAAGTAAGGAGACATCACCTAGCTGAAACATTTTGCACATACGAAGGGAACATATTTTTCTCTAAATTGCCTTGTTCAGCTATGTTAGTCTAATTTTACCTTTGTGTAATCCAACTGTAATAAGAAAGTTCATCCTTCAACAAGATGAGAGGAAATTCAGCATCTCCAATTAGAATTTTCTCCAAGTTTCTTTTGGGATGTGTTATTTTATCTAATTACTGCATTTCAAATTTTGCCTTGCTTTATGAAGGGTCATTGGCTAACATCTCAGTTTGCATCTCTGTAAGTCTGAGTTTACAAAATCCTTGTGCTTACAGTACAACAGCCTGAAAACTTGACAAAGGAGAAATTTTGTCCTTTAAAAAACGTCATAGTAGAAAGCCCTAAACCAAAGTTAGTTGCTTATAAAGGCTGCAGAGTACAATTTGCCTTGAAACACCAGCTAATAGTAGAAGTAGTTTAAGTGCACATTGAGAGTGGTACAGTTTCCTTCTCCAGGTTCAGAGTTAACACATTTATGTGCTTCTAATAATATTCGCTTCATTGGAATTCTCTTCAGTATTGTATTGAGTTCCATAATCCACAGGGATATATTTCTTTGATTGAAAAAAAACCACACCAAAACAACACAAACAAAAAAACCCCAACATGCAGGCTTACAGAGATGAGAACAAAGGAAGAAATTTGTTTTCTATCTCCATTACTTCATTTCTAGCAAGGGAAAGACTTCTGTGTTTGAAGTGGTTCTTTTTTGAATAAACTCGTGTTTCTATAGGTTTTGGGTTGACTTCATAGAATGTATTTGCATACCAAAATCCTGATGTAGATGACTGGGTTTCTCATCATTCTTGTCTGACTTCTTAGCTGTCTGGAAATAAACATTCAGATACAAGGCAAGATTCTATACAGGTTTTCAGAAGTACTAATCTTTAAAATGATGTTTGTAATTTTTTTCCTCTCAGATTACTGTGATTTAAATACATTTATAAAATTGCACATCTATATATTTATATAAACTTAATAAATTCAAGAATTATT